GGGGCAGTGGGGTGGAGGAGATGTGGGGTAGAGGAGAGAGGAGATGATCTAGAGCTTCCATACATGAGTGAGAAAGCTCCCTCGTGGTTATAGAGAGGAGGGGGGCAAGATTCTAATTTAAAGTTGGGATTTTCAATGAAAATCATATGGAATAATTGAAAGCATGAAGGCGTGAAGGCTTTGTGGGTGAGTAGATATTGGGGGTGGTGTGGAGACCTAATAGTGGTGGGTTGCACTAAAAGTGAGTTTGGTACTTTCTTGGGACAACAGTGCTGCTACTGCCAGAGCTCGCAGGCATGATGGCCATCCCCTGACAGTGGGGCTCATCTGTTTGGAGAGATAGGTAACTGGAGCATAAGTAGGTCCCTTCATCTGCCCCAAGACTCCCATGGCAATTCTCTGTTTCTCAGTTACATATAGGAAGAAAGGGAGGGACAGGTCTGGGAGTGAAAGAGCTGGGGCTGATATAAGGGCTGATTGAAGGGATTTAAAAGCCTTATGAATGGGGTGGGTTGGGGTCTAGGGGCTCTGAAGAGTTTCCTTTAGTTGCCTCATAGAGCAGCTTAGCTAAGAGACTAAAATTGGGAATCCATAGTTATAGGTAGCCTGCTAGCCCTAGAAAGAACACAATTTCCATTTCGGAGGTAGGGATAGGCAAGTCTGCTATTAAATGTTTCCAGTTAAGAGTGATTTTATGCTTGTGAAGAGAGATAGATACACCCAGGTAGACTACAGAAGTTAGAGAGAGCTGTATCTTTTGGGGAGAGACTTGGTATCCTCTGAAAGCAAGAAAGTTAAGGAGAGAGATGGTGTGTTTTTGTGAGTCCTGGAGTGAAGGGCTACATAGAAGTAGGTCATCCACATATTGAAGGAGGGTACTGGGTGAGAGATCTTTAGCCAGTGCTTGGCCAAAGAAGTGGGGGATATCATGGAAACTCTAAGGGAGCATTGTCCACGTGTATCATTGAGAATGGTGAGTATCAGGGTCAGTCCATGTGAAGGCGAAGACATTTTGGGAGGAGGGGTATAAAGGCATGGTAGAAAACGCGTCTTTGAGATCAGTGACTGTAAAATGGGATTTCTTAGCAGGTATTTGGGAGAGGAGCATGTATGGGTTAGGGATGACAGGGTGTATGGGAGTACAGCTGTATTGATAGCATGCAGGTCTTGACTAGATGATAACTCCCATTGGGCTTGATGATGGGGAGAATAGGTATATTGTATGGGGAGTGAGTTGGGCACAGAAAGCCCTTTTTAAAGAGGATTTGAATAACTGGCTTGAGTTCCCATTGGTGTTTTAGAGTTATTGGATATTGGGGAACACTGGGAAAGGTAGAGGTATCTTTTAGGGAGATTTGTATAGCAGACAGCAATAGAAGGCTGTATTACATCCCAGACTTGAGGATTGACTAGGTTAGGTGGCAGCGGAGGTTTTCCTCTTAGGGATTTGAAGGAGAGGAATCTGGTGCAGCATCATACAGCAAGAACAAGCCTGTCAGTGAGGTAGACATGGCAGTTTTAATAGGGTATCATATGAGGGTGACTTTGAACTTGGCTAGAATGTCTTGTCCTAGGATTGGTGTAGGGCACTTGGGTAGAACTAGAAAGGTGTGTGAGAATGGGGTGTCATGAAGTGAGAATGCTAGGGGTTCTGTGATGGAAGACCAAGTAGGGACTCTGTTAACCCCAACTATTAATGTAGGGGTAGGGTGTGCCCTGAGTATTCTTTCTGGTAGAGTTGAGTATGTGGCCCTGGTGTCTAAAAGAAAAGAGACTGGCTTACCTGAAACATGGACCATTACCCTAGGTTCACTGTGAGTTATTTCCGTGGAGGCCAGTGATCCTGGGCTCCTTCCGTCCTCTGCAGCCAGTCCTAGAAGCTCTGGTAGGGCAAACCCCTTCATTAGGTGGGACTGGGGGGCTATTGATTCCTTACCTCTCTGGAGAAAGGGGCACTCAACCTTCCAATGTCCCCCCTGTTTGCAGGCGGGGCAGGGGTCAGGGGGAGGACGAGGGTTGGGGCAGTTTTTTGCCCAATGACCCTCTTGGTTACACTTGAATTCTATTATATTCCTTTTTTGGTCTGGAACCCTGTAGACCAAAAATAGGCCAGTAATAGGTATTTCACCTTGTCTCTTTGGGCCTTATCCTGTTTTTTCTGTTCTTCTCTACCATTATAGACCTTGAAGGCTGTGTTTAACAGGTTCTGTTGATTTGCTTAGAGACCCTCCTCAAGTTTTTTTAGTTTCCTTTTTATATCTGGGGACCAACTGAGAGATGAAATGAGTGTTAATAACTGTTATGTCTACTGCGGATGTTGGATCCTGTCATTGCTCAATGAACTCATGAACAAAATGACCATGGTGGAGGGATGTAGGTTATGCATGGTCTCAGCAGTATTGACTTCTACTCACCAATTTTGACTTGGGTACAGTAAACGCTGAATGCCTAATCTTCCAGAAGTGGAGACCAGCACAGAATCTGTGATATGATACTATTCTATGGTGAAATAAGTCAGCAAATTGCTATTGGGTTGATGTTATTAGACTACTTCCATAGGGGAAGGGACAGTTTTGTTCTTACTTGAATAGACATTTACTTGGGATACGGGACATGAATTTGTCTTACCTATCCACAAAGCTTCTGCCAAAATGATCATTCATGAACTTGCAGAATGACTTATCTACAATCAATTTATCTTACACAACATTCCCTCATATCAAGGGACTCAATTAACAGAAAATGAAGCATGGCAATGGACCTATGCTCAAGAAATTCACTGCTCTTACCATGTTCTCCATCATCCTGAAGTATCTGGCTTAATAAAACCGTGGAATGGTCTTCTAAATATACAATTCAGATATCAACTAGGTAAAAATGCCTTGCAGTATTGGGGCAATGTTCTTCAGAAGACTGTATAGGCTGTAAACCAATGTCTAATTATGATGCTGTTTCTCCAATAGTACCTGGACCCTAGCCTCTTTTGGATTGGAGGTTTTGTTCCAAAAGTAGAAATATTCTCACCTGGAGACAGAATGCTAAGTGAGAACAATTACCTGGAATCTAAGAATGATTTCTGGCCACTTTGGGTTTCTCATGCTTCAGGATATACAGGTAAAGAAAGTAGTTTTGAATACCAGCTACAGTCATGTGAGCATTGCAGATATGAGTACTGTAATTGTTGTAAGTATTTATTTCTTATATGTGTACATCAAAGATTTTTGTTTTGTTAACTTATAAAATGTAAGATGTAAATGTGTTTAGTGTGTTTTTGGCTGTATGCATGTTAGTTGTATCACATTAGGCACAAGTATGTCTTTATAATTATGTTAATTTAGATGTCATGTATGGTTGAAAGAGATGTATATAGGTGCCAAATCGATAAGGGGTGGACAGTGATTATTATGGTTTCTTGTCAGTTTGGCTGGGAAAGGATTTTCAGTGATTTAGTAGTTAAGATGTAGTCATCCCCAATGAAGATACATCTAATATAACCTATCCTCCTTTATAATGAGTTATATTATAAACATCCAATCAATTGAAAGGAAGTTCTTTCAAGCAGGTGCTCTGCTTCCAATATATGGACATTTGGGCAGAGCTTGTTGCATTGATGAAGGATCTGGAGACTTCATCTGGCTTATCGTTTGTCCCGAAAGTTGTCAGCAATTTGCAATATTACCTGTGTGACATGTCAGTCTTGGTTTATCAACCCTGCAGTTAAGTGAATCAGAAACTTACATCTTGGCATCTGACCCAAATACTTGTTGTTAAGAGTCCTTGAGTCGTTCCGACCCATAGCGACCCTGTATAGGGTTTCCAAGGAGTAGCTGGTGAGCTTGAACTGCCAACCTTGCAGTTCGAACCAACTTTGCAGTCCAGCACATTAACCCACTGTGCCACACCAGGACTTCAACCCAAGTACTTAGGACTTGCTAAACACTAACACTGTGTGAGCCGTTCCTTGATCTGTCTTTCTTTATAGATACATATATATGTTTCACTAGTTTTGCTTCTCTAGAGAACCTAGGCTAAGACAAGAAAATACTAATATATGTATTGCTTCATTATTTTCTAAATCTATGGAGGCAAAGATATATTCTTTCTACATTTATGTCATTTTTTTCATGGTACTATCAATTTTGGTTATTTTATTGGACTAGTACAAATAAAGCTCCGCCTTTTCATTTAGTGTCTATAGAGTTTTCATTTGTAAATATGTCCTGTGATTTACATTACCAGTACCATATAGAGGGATTTTTAATTTTTTCAATGTTTTGACACTACAACAATGTTTCAAAAGATCTCTTGAATAGATGTAATTTTCTACTGTGTAAATAACTTTATAATATAAATTCCCAAATAAAGACTTGAAGAATCAAATGTAGACTTATAAATTTAATATTCTGATATGTAATTGTATACCAATCTACATTCTCACAAGCAAATATAAGAGTGTCTATTTCCCTAAACAATTGTCAACTCAATTTCCTGACATGTCTTATGTTTTGCCAATCTTAGAAGTAAAAAAGTTGCCTCATAGTTTTTCACATCATTATTATGAGGATATTAAGCATTTAAATTTTTTTTTCTGTTATTGCCCTTTTTAAAAGTGGAGTTGTTCTTTGTTTCACTGATACATAAGAACTCATAATAGCCTGAAGAAAGGAACTCTTTGTCTATGAAAAAACTGACCAAAAAAATTGCTTCATCTTTTCATTTGTGAATTGTTTGCTTGTATCTTTTCTGTGAAATTTTCATTATCTTCTATTTTCCAGCTATCTATTTTTTAATTAAGTAAATCAAAACTTAGTTTGAGGAACACAAATTTGTTTACCAGTTTGCAAATATTTATTTTTAGAGGTTTTCTTGAATGAAACAAACATGAAACAAATATTTTTAAGTGACCAACTACATTTTACTCTTAAGACAAAAGAAGCCTCTTTTTATAATTTTTATAGCAGGAATTCCAATCTATTTTAGAATTTACTGATCTCTCTCACCACTGTCTGGATAAATTTACCAGGAAGAGATATTACTGACATTAATGCATCACCCAAATCAGCGAGAAAACCACCAAATCCAGAACGATTCTTAGTTGCTTCAATATCTTCTTGTAGTCGACATATCACACTATTTAACGTCTCAGCCTTCTTTTTAAATCCTTCCATAAGAAATTCTTCTTGGACCTATAAAGGGGAAAAAGTAACTGTGAAAAACAACTATCAAGAGTCATGGTTTTGCCATTTGGGAAAAAAAAAAGGTTTAATGGAAATTAATTCTCAGTTTCAACTGAGGAAGCATGGCCACAAACATCTAAAAAAATAATGAGAGCTGCTAGACCTGTGTAATAAACTGCTTACAAATACCTAGATCAGTACAGTGAATGCATATTATTCTAAGTTGCATAGGGTGACTCAGACAGATTTGGAAAAAAACACATCAAGTATCAGAGCACCATGTATTTCATGTGAGACCAAATCTAATACAAGATATGATGGATCTACTTGAGGTCTCTTTGATATTGTACCAGGAATCATAAAGACTATAGGAATAAGGTAATATTCAAATAGGCACAATGAGATTATTGTGCAATTACAGCATAGAGCTGTGCATGCCATTTGTCTTCTCCAAAGCCTAACACTGAAGAAGGTGCTGGTGTTTTGGTGACTTAGTAAGGGGTTCAGTCTCATCCTGATGGATTGCAGATTTTAGCAAACCAAATGCCCATATTCTTCCATCTGAGACCAGGGTTTTGCTTTACATTTTGACCCTTCTCTTCTTTAGGTACCAGGAAAATGTCTGTCAGACACAGCCCAGACCCAGGATAGTCTTACCTTAAGTTTATGTTCCAGCACCCTTTCCTGCTCTCTCAGGAGTGCTTCTCTTTCCTTTTCCATCTTCTCTTTCATTTGTTCCATGTTTTCTTTGAAGCTCTTCTCTTGAGCCTCCATCTTTTGTTGCTGCTCCTTCTGTTTCTCTTTCAGCAGCTCCTTCTCCTTCTCTATTGCCTCCATCTTGGCCCGTTCCGCTGTCCCACAAAGGATGTAGGGAGAGAAGAGAACATGTCAGGCCTGTGTTCTACCCTCCTGACCTAAGGCATCTAACTGATTGAAAAAAGAAGAATATGAGTCTGTATTCTTTTGGTATTAACAGTAAAAAAGGCACTTCAGAAAATGATGGAAAATACTCTGCCTGTCTATCTTGGCACACATAACTGCAACTTCCCTTGATTACTTTCAGACTCAGTAAAACATCTCATCATTAAAAATGAGAATTTCCATATTTCAGATCTTCCTTTCAGATCCATCAGAGCACAATGCAGGAAGTTCCCCATCCCAATGTAGGCTGAGTCCAGCCATTGTACCTTCTATGGCCTTCTCCCCATCTGTGAGGGCTTTGTCCGATTGCAGGATGGATTCTTCGACTGGTGCCTGTGACTGCAAAAATCTCTGGAGGACCTCGTTGGCCTGAGGAACCAACAAGAAGTAAAGCCACTTCAGGCACTAGAGAGCTAGTCTCTTGCTGTGAAAGAATTGTGCCCTGAAACTTCAAACATGACTCTGAATTGTATAACCCAGAGCTTCCTTTGTTTCTGTGAACACAGTGTAAATTCCAAGTCCATTTAAGGTCGTGAAAAACCCTCAATCACAGCGTCTTTTCTCTCTAGCCTCTATTCCTAGTGATACTGTCCAGTTTCCTCCCAGGAAATACATAATTAAATTGTGCAGTTCTAAAAACACATAACATATATTGTTTTCATAGGCATACATGTTGTTTTCATAGACTTGAAAATTCTTTTATTTTTTCAGGTCAGATGCTGTTCCCTCCTTTCTTAACAAGGATGACATCTGTCAATAATTCACCTTGTATTGCTTATCTCCTCTTGCTACGAACTTTCCTACGATTCATTTCCCATTGGGAATAGACTCCACGTACTCTGAACTGCCATACCAACTCTACCACATGCTTGTTGTGTTACCCTGAGAAACTTATTCTTGGCTCTATTTATTATATTCTTAGCTGTATAATGTGGAAAATGGTAGTAATACTGTGATTATATTGTTGTTACGTTGTTAGGTATTGCTCAGTTGATTCTGACTGATGATGACTCCATATGACAGAATAAAATTGCCCAGTAGCATTTTCTAGTATGGCATATATATATATAGTGTTGTTCAGTGACCTCAAGTTGGCTCTGACGCATAGTGACCTTGCATAGAGTTTTCAAGGAGAAGCCGGTGGATTTGAACTATTGATCTTGTGCTGTAATGTATATGTGCATGTGTGTGTATATATGGTGAAAACATATATATATATATATTAATATGGAGTTCTGGTATGGCAAAATACTGGTCTGCTAATTGTGAGGTTGGTAGTTTAAACCCACCAGGCACTTCTCAGAAATCCTATACAGGGTCACTATGAGTCAGAACTGATTCTACTGCACTTAACAACAACCAAGACAATTATACATATATACATATATGTTGCATCCTCGTGTGGCACTGTAAGAGATACACTCAACTTCTAACCACAAGGTTGGCTGTTCAGACTCACCAGCTACTCTTTGAAAACCCTACACAGAGTTACTATAAGTCAGAACTGACTAGACAACACTTAGCAACAATAACAACAATGACACATACATATATAATGAGAATAACATACATATCATTCTCATTTTATATACATATACATACATATCCACCACTCATATGTCAGTTTGTTGTACTATTGTGGCTTGTGCGTTGTTAGAAAGGTAGAAGCTATGTTATTGGTATTTTAAATACAAACAGGGTCACTCATAGTGGACAAGCTTCACTACAGCTTCCAAACTAATACAGACTATGAGGAATGAAACACAGATTACTTCGTGATTTTTAGTCACTGCAAAGCTTATGAGTAGCAGTGAAACATTGTCAGACAAAGTGCTGGAAAAGGAAAGCATTATTAAAAAAACACAAGAACATTATAAGATATAGTGCCAAAAGGTGAAAACATTATGAAGGTAACAAGAACATTATCACATATCATGCCAGATAATTAGCCTTTCAGTTTGTAAGACACTAAAAATATATCTGGGAAGTGCTGCCTCCTCAAAATAGACTTGACCATGATGACATAAATAGAGTAAAGCTTTTGGTGCTTTCATTTACTGATGGAAACAATCCAAAATGAGGAAAAGCAACTTCAAATATCCATTAATAATTGGAACCTGTAATATATGAATTATGAATCTAGAAAAGTTGTAAAAAATGAAATGAAAGGCATAAAGATCTCTATTTGTATGCCTGTAAGGAAGACCAGTTAATATCAGTATCATTCAAAGTTACAAACCAACCCACTAAAGCCAGTGATAAAGAAATTGAAGAATTCTACCAATTTATACAGTCTGAAATTGATAAGCTATGCAACCAAGATGTACTGATAGTTACTGGTGATTAAACTGTGAAGGTCAGAAACAAAGAGGAAGGATTAGTAGTTGGAAAATATGGCCTTGATAGAAACGATGCTAGAGGTCGCATGATAGAATTTTATAAGACCAATGATTTATTCATTGAAAATACCTTTTTAAAATAACATGAAAGGTGACTAAACACGTGGATCTCACTAGATGGAATACATAGGAATTATAGTGACTTTATCATTGGGAAGTGACAGTGGGAAAGCTCAATATCATCATCCAAAACACCACGGCCAGAGGCTAAGTGTTGAACATCCATCAATATTTCATATGTGAGTTTTCAGGATGAAGCTGAAGAAAATTTAAGCAAGTTCATGAGAGTTAAAAAAGGTGACCTTAAGCATATTTCATCTGAATTAGGAATCCATCTCAAGAACAAATTTGATATATTAGGCCAAGGGTGGGGAATATTTGGCCCATGAGCTGTATGAGGCCAAAAATATAATTTGATCTGTTCCTGCCAAGTAACTACAATATCACCCACCACATTGTTGTTATTGTTGTGTGCCGTGGAGTCGTTTTGACTCATAGTGACCCTGTACAGGGTTTCCTAGGCTATAAATCTTTACAGGAGCAGAAAGACTCATCTTTCTCCCACAGAACAGCTGGTAGTTTTGAACTACTGACCTTGAGATTAGCAGCCCGATTTGTAGCCACTACGCTACCATAGCTCCTTAGTCACCACATCAGGGGTGAGTTAATTAAGTGTTTTACCAAATATAGCAGGCTAATTTTTAAGTTGATGATCTTGTATGGCCCAAACATGATGTTACAAATTTTGGCAGGTATAAAGGTTCCCACCCCTGCCTTCAATTAGGCACTTATAACTGAAGATCACAAAATAGTTGGATGACATCAAATACACTTTATGGGAAGAAAGCAAAATGTTATTTAAAAAACAGGTAATGAATAAAAGGCCAAAATGTATATCAAAGAGACTCTGACATCTGCTCTCCTGCATAGAGATGCTACAGTCAATGGGAGAAATGAAGAAGTAAAAGAGCTGAACACAAAATTTCAAAGTGCAGTTCAAGGAGTCAAAGTCAAGTATTATAATGAAATGTGCAAAGACCTGGAGTTAGAAAACCAAAAGGCAAGAACATGCTCAGCATTTCTCAAGCTGAAAGAAATGAAGAAAAAAATTCAAGGAATCTATGGGCAAAATATTGGATTATGCAAAAAGCATTATAGTAAGATGGAAGGGATACATAGAGTTACACTGGCAAAACTATATGGTTGATGTTCACTCATTTCAAAAGATAGCATATGGTTGACAACCAATGGTATTAAAGGAAGTCCAAGTTGCACTGAAGGCAATGGTGAAAATCAAGACTCCAGGAAATGACAGAATACCAACCAAAATATGTCAGCAAACTAATATAACACTGGAGACACTCACTAATCTATGCCACAGAAACTACCTGGCCAACTGATTGGAAGAACTCCAAAGTTGTGCTCATTCCAAAGAGAGGTTGCACAACGGAATGTGGAAATCATTGAACAATATCATTAACATCACATGCAAGTAAAATTTTGCTGAATATTATTCAAAATGGCTACAAGAGTATGATGGAACTACCAGAAATTCATTCACATTCAGAAGAGTACTTGGAACTTGAGATATCATTGCTGATGTCAGATGGATCTTGGCTGAAAGCAGAGAATACAAGAAAGATGTTTATTTCAGCTTCATTGACTATGCATAGGCTTTTGATTATGTAGATTATGGAAGCTTTGGATAACACTTTGAAGAAAGGCTATTACACAACACTTAACTCTGTTCTTTAGGAAACTATACACAAAACAAGAGGCAGTTATTCAAACTGAACAAGGGGATACTGAATGGTTTATAATCAGGAAAGATGTGTTACTGGATTGTATTCTTTCATGGTTCTTGTTCAATATGTATGTTGAGTAAATAGTCCAAGAAACTGGATTATATAAAGAAGATTGTAGCATCAGCATTGGAGGAAGACTCATTAACAGCCTGTGATATGCAAATTATACAACCTTGTTTACTGGAAGCAAAGAGGAATTAAAATACTTATGAATATCACAGACCACAGCCTTCATATGGATTGTACTTTAAAACAAACTGGGCTAATAAATAACCTCATGATAAGTGGATCAAAAATTGAAGTTGTCAAAGACTTGATTTTGCTTAGATCCACTGTTAGCACTAATGGAAGTAGCAGGCAAGAAAATAAACAATGCATTTTATTAGGCAAATCAGCTGTACAAGACCTCTTTAAAATGTTCAAGAACAAAGACATCAGTTTGAGGACTAAGATGGAATTGACCTAAGTCATTAAATTTTTAATAGCTTCATAGGCATGTGAAAGTTGGACAATGAATAAAGAATATCATAGAAAAATTGATGCATTTGAGTTACGGTTTTGGAAAAGATTATTAAAAGTACCATGGACTTCCCGAAGAACAAACAAATCTGTGTTGGAAGTTCAACCAGAATGCTCCTTAGAAGCCAGATGACAAGTCTTCGTCTGTCATACTTCTGACATGTTCTCAGGACTAACCAGTCCCTGGAGAATGACAATATCCCTGGTAAGCTAGAGAGTCAGCCAAAAAGTGGAAGAAACCCAATGAGATGTTTTGACACAGTGGCTCAAATGCAAGAACAATTGTGAGGATGGTGAAGGATCTGGTAATTTCCATTCTGTAGTGTATAGTGTAGCTATGAGTTGGAACTAACTTGATGGCACCTGACAACAACAATAACAATATTCATGTGAACATGTCTGGTGTGGGACTGCAGGATAAACACAGGCCCATAATGTTATTTTGAACCACAGGTCAGCGTTTCAAATTTACCAGTCACACATCAGAAGCCCCATACAGGGTTGCTATGAGTTGGAACCAACTAAATGACACTTGACAGCAAACAAGAACACACACACAGAATATATACATACATTCGGAGGGAATCCTGGTATGACACTGTAGGATAAGCACTGTAGGATAAGTCCAGTTTGAGTCACAAGGTGTTGTGGTTCAAACTCACCAGCCACTCTATACGGTATCACTGTGAGTCAGAACCAACTTGATAGTACTTAAAATAACTAACTATATTGTCTGAGAATGCTAGTATTCCTAGAATTGTATTATAATCCAACAAAAACATGCAAGACCATTCCTGGAATAAGAAGTGAGTGCTCGATATATGCTAGTCATTGTAATTATTATCTTCATCATTTTTGTTAGCAGCTGTGAACAATAAGATCCTTATCACACCATATCCAAATGACTGTTTCTCAATTCAAAATGATCATGAGCTTCTTGAGAACAAAGGTTGCTTCTTTAATATTATATCTGCTATTCTTGATACATGGAGTCCTGTTGTGGTGCTGTGGGTTAAAGTCAGTTTGAACCACAAGGTTGATGGTTTAAGCTCACCAGTAGCTCCTCGGAAACCCTATATAGGCTTGCTATAGGTTAGAATCAAGTTGTTGGACTTAATAGCATCAACATACTTATACATAATCCTCTGGTGGCAACAGTTAATCATTTGATTGCTAAGCAAAGAGCAATAGGGTTTAAGGTTCAAATCCACCCAAAGATGCTTTGAAAGGAAGGTCTGGTGACCTACTTCTGAAAGATCATATTCATTTAACAACCCTATGTAGAAATTCTTCTTTGACATACATGGAATTACCATGAACTGATTCAACTCAAGGAAAGTTGGTTAGATTTTTGGTACTTTGTACAATACGATCACATTGTTTGAAAAATGAAAGAAATCTTTTATATTATCTCATTATTAGTTCTAATTCTTTTCTTTAGGAGTATATATGCTTGGTTTCTCTTAGAGTTTCTCAATAATTGTGGATATAAAACAGGATATGCCAAGATATCACTGTGTTTTCAGTATAACTGGAATTAGTCCTGGTGTGGGTGTGGTGCTTTATGAAAAATACTGAGATGCTAACTACCAGGTTGATGCTTTAAACTCACCAGCTGCTCCTCAGAAATCCTAACACAAGTTCACAGTGTGCCAGAACTGACTCAACAGCACTTAACAATAACATTAGTGAAGTGATCTTAGATTTTCAGAAGATTAAAGGCCCCCTGATTCCTTTTCGTTGGGCTTCCCTCCACTTCCCTTGTTCCTCACCTTAACTCCTTTCCTGGGAACTTGTGCATAGTCTACTTCAACCTTCCTCCTTGTTTCTAAATAGAGATTGTGTCCTCCTGGAATAGAGAAAATTCCTCCCGAAATGCTTTCCATCAGGACTTTTGACAACTGCTGCAGCTCAGCTTGACAGTATTTCACAGAAGCCTCTTCATTCTGCAGCACAAAGTCATCTTTCATTTTTCCTATGGCTGCCTGCAGAGAAAGGTAGAGATGCACAATAGAAATAAGATCTTAGAAGGATAGTCCAACTTTAGTTCTTTCAGAAAAAGCAGACTGACAGCCTCAGAGAGGAGGTGGAAGTCTTGTGTTAGACACAGGTAAGCTTCAGCATATATAAATTTGTGGAGGAAGTGTCTGGCATAAACTCTATGGTGTTTTTGTTTTGTTTTTTGCTATAGTGTATTTAAAAGTGATCCACATATTGCAATGAGTCATAGAAAGGTCAATTTGGTTGTAAGGAAAGTTTTCTCAGAGAACCTGGGTTGCTATGGATGAACATATAAACCTGAAAAAGCAATCCACACATAACTTAAATGCATTCTGAGTATACTTTAGAAGCCTTCACGAATTCTCTTAATTAGAAGTTGAGTATGAGAAGATCTAGCAAAAGAATTGTTTTTGCTAGCCCTTATAAATTACAATCAGGACTTCCGGTTTGCCAGGGCGGCCAGGCGGTGCGGGTGAGTGGGGGCTCTGGGATTGGGG